CCCTTGGTTTCATTAATGCGATGCATGCGTTCCATGATGTTGTATTGCACTCATTGATCTACCAGTTATGTTGAATGATTTCTCTTTTAATATCAATTACTCACAAATACTTCATATATTTCAATCATACAAACAACTGCTCATTCAATGTGTGACGGGCGTATTATATACCGCTCGCGGTAACCTTGTATTTCATTGTGCTTAATATTCATTTATTTATATTTTAAATTAAACGAACAAAATAAACACTGTTCATTAAATTGACAGCGATCTCCATTCTATTTCTTCCTCAATGTAATCATCTCAAGTTCCGTTTGCCCTCCAATAAGATCGCGAATCTTTATATAATAATATGTATGATTACAAAACAAAGTAAACACCACGTATCCTAACAATCTCATTTGTAGTATTGTTTTTGTACTTAATCATATAAAAAGCGTTATTTTGTGATTTTGAATAAAAAGGGAATCAGGAATTTGACTAATGACTTGATAATTTCCTGAAGAAGAAGAAGTATAATATGTAATACTAAATAAGCAAGAATCGCGAATTAAAGACAATGGGCACATGCATATTTTTACAAAACCGATAGAGCGAAATCATAATTATATACAATATTACGAAAGCTTATTCGTGCCAATTAAGGAATGAAGAAATATTAAGTCGTACAAACGAGTAAATAAGTCCTACGAACGAGACAAAAAGTCGTACGAACGATATAAAAAGTCGTACGAACAATATAAAAAGTCGTACGAACGATATAAAAGTCGTACGAACGAGTTAATAAGTCGTACGAACGAGATAAAAGGTCGTACGAGTGAGATAAAAAGTACCACAGGGCTGACCAATAAACGACTGTCCCATGCAAACCTGACATACTAAACTCCCTCTGATGCATAATTGTATCTTAATGTATGTTATTGTGGAAATGTAAAGAGAAGAAGCAACATTTGTAATTTATTACCTGAAACTTACCTTTTTTGCCAATACTCGATTCATCTTATACCATGAAAGCCCAAAACATTTGTATTGTTTGTTAATTACTGGCAGATTTCGCTATTAGGCAAAGTATACTTATTGACCTTATCTGAATCCTATCACATTTCACTAAGTTATTGTGAGGAAACCGTCGACCAATAAGATAGTTGTATGCTAATAAGTTAAATGCATGTTTCTTCAGAACCCGGTCATATTTGAGAAAGTTATAGTGCAGAAACCGTAAAACCAATCAGAGCACAGTACGCTAATTGTCAATGCGGATTTTGTTCAGCTTCGATTTAAGCCTCAGTCTACATATATTGTACATGCACACCAGGGAATAAAGCAGGAATTTGATTTAAAATGAAGGCATATGGTAAGACACGCTCAATGGAAAACCAATTCCGTGTTGGCAACATCAAAGCAAACGTGACACAATTTTTATTTTTTATTTCCCTAATACCTGTCTTACTAAACTGTTATTAACAAGATACGAGATTAACTTACTGAAGATGGATCAAATATTTTGAAATGGAAACTTCCTCCTGCTGTATATTATATAGCCTACAAAAATTGTATCAGTCGAGGAATATACATTTCTAATTCAACATACAACTATCCAAACACTTTAGAATTTTTCTGCGACGGAAACCATACAGAATATGAGGTCATAAGGGTTCTGGTACTCGAGCAAACCTGTCAATTAGTTCTGATAAATTGTAGAAAAATTTCTTAGTCTGTTTATAATTAAAATAATGAAAAAGTAATCATATCTAACTACGTGATGGATCGATAGGTTTTCAACACCCTTCTGATACCAAAGCTGTAACTATTATAACTAAAAAATTGTTTTTGTCTACAACATCCAACATCCTCACCAGACCTACAATTGTAGAGCAGACAGAGTAGACACTATCCTTAGTTATATTAGAACAAGATGTATTAGACCTGTTAAGGATATTCTGAATGCCAAATTCCATCTTGCATAGGAGAGACGATACCAGAAATTCATTTTCTCTAAAATTTTGAATTCGGTAGCAAGACTTTCCAGCAGGCTGTTGGCATTTGCAATGGAATAAACTGAGTCCCTATTCTGACCTCCTTGGTTCCGTTTTGATTTGAAGCTGAATTTGTGGACGAGCTTATAAGGACGGGTAAAAAGCCTAGTCAAGTCCTTCAATTTCACATTCAAATATATCGACGATGTGCTCTCTTTGAATAACAAGAAAGAAATGCATTGACTACATCGATCGCAGACACCACAGACTTATCTACTTCAGCTGCTTTTCTCGATCTATTCTTACAACACGACAAACACGGACGGCTTACTACTAATTTGTATGATAAGCATGACGATTATAAATTTCTGATCCTAAATTTCCCCTTTCTTGATAGCAACATCCCTACTAACCCTAACTACGGTGTTTATATGTCGCAGTTAATTCGGTACTCAAGAGCTGGCTCCGAATATCACGATTTCGTGATAGATGTCGACTCCTGACGGACAAACTTATAACACAGGGTTGCCAAAGATGCAGGTTGATGAAGACTATGACTATGGTTGCCATCAGGATCTCGCGGAGAAATACTTCTCTATTCCTCTGTGTGATAAAAAGGTCAATATTTCTTATCATTCTCATTGGAGTGTTTTGTGGTTTCGTATTCACTTTCCGAGTTCCACGATGTGAGGCTAGGACATCATTTGGATTTGACCTAGATTCACATGGCGGATTTTATTAATGAAGCAGAAGACGATTTTCCTTTCGGTACACCTGGTCTTATTTCTCTGGTACTTTTTCAGGTGTCTCCATGTAAATCATTCTTTGCTCACATTTTGCCCTAATTTTATTGATTTTGAGTTCTAATTATGTTTTAGAGTAAAGATTACAGAATGACAGCAAAAACTATAAACCAATATCAATTACATCTCGCTTTAGTAGAATTAATGGGGGAAATAACTAATGTGACTACCTTATGGAATGAAGAATCATTTCCAAACATCAATTTAGTTTAGTTCGCTTCGTGTTCTGTGATGTGAGCAAATCTTATGATACGGTATGTTTGATGGTTGTAAATGCAATCTAAAATCGTAAAGAATAAAAAGAATGTCATTATTCTGGTTTAATTAATATCTGTTTGAATGAAGACATAGATTTTACTGAGGGGGGCTATTCAAAGGTTACTCCTGTACATGCAGTTGTTCCTCGGTAATCTGTTTTTGGGACTTTTGCATTTTATTCAAATGATATAACAGATCATGAAAGTAAATAAAATTAAATTTAGAAAATTAAATTAAATCAATAAAATATGACTAACGATTGAATTCATGTTTTTTTTTAAATCAGACTGATTTTAGTATATATACTAATGTGATATGGAGTAATACAAGAAACATAAATATCTGGAACTAATCAATAAGACACAGTAATTATTTGCTTATATTGTAGGAATTTGCTTTCAGGGTTTATAAAGTTTTTAAGCTTTCATAACCCGATGAATTAAAAGAAAATCGAAACGGCTTCAATCATATTATGTCATGACATCCCGCATCCCCACCCCACCCCTTTAGCTCACCATCATCAGCAGATGATAGGAAACCCAGGATGGCCACTGAACAGCACTCTTGACTTTTGACAGTTCAATTTTGTTATCACTATTTTAAATGTATATCCCCATGGTCCCTTGTTCAAATACCCCTGGCCGTAATGAGAATGCATCCATCCTTGACAGCACTTCTGATCATGTAGGAATTACAAGTGTGTAGCATTTCTCGTATGGTTAATCAACTAATTCTAATACCATAGCTTTTGTAATAGGGGCAAATTACATATGACATTACGAGATATAAGTTAATGTACAAGATTCCAATTTAGGATTTCATACAGACGGGGTAAAAGTACCTGAAAATTAAGATGAAGAACAAATAAGGTAAAAGATTGCTTTTAAAGAACTGATAAAGATCCTTTGGTGGTTGGCACCAATATCCTATTAGGATCTTTGTTCATCTTTAAAATATTTTTGTTTTTAGACTGGACTACGAAGATCCCTGTGAAAATAAAACAAAAAATGAGGGGACCTATTGAATATGAGAACAACTCACGTGAACGCACTGCCAAGATACAAAAAGCAGCAGATTTCCAGAAAAGCCAGGATACTGCCAAGGAACTAAAAGGTAAATCTGTTGAAAAGCATGTCTGGTTATTTGGACTAAGATGGAGTGTATAACATTGTATATCATATTCAACCATAATTTTGCTGCAGAGTATGTCGAAATCAATATTGACCAAACGACCCCAGTTATATAGGGGATAAAGACAAAATTGATCCTCTTTGTCCTTCGCTTTTTTTCCTTTTCGCTTTGCCTTTGTATAACTTTACTTTCAAAACTTTTGTATAAGGATCCCCTACCCACTGCCCAAACCTGTAACTAGCTGTACTTGTGACTAAATCAAACGATGGTAAAGTTATAACTTATGTCCAGAGAATCGCGTTAATATAACATAACTAAATTCATGCTAGATTTCCTTACCTAGTCATCTGATACGAGCATCAGTTGTTTGTCTTTTTTATCATTCGATCTTTTAAATATTCTTTAGATGAAAATGTCAAAATACCTGAAAAGATGGAACAATATCACAGACAATGTCCTCTGTAATTAAACAACATCACAGACAATGTCCTTTGTAATAAAACATCATCACAGACGATGCCTTCTTGTTTTATAAAACATCATCACAGACAATGCCCTCTGTAATTAAACAATTTGACAACTCGTACACATTTTACACCTTTGTGTGTATACGCTTCATTGGTCATTTCTCTGATGAAGGTAACGCTACATTAAAACAAAATTGGTTGCGTAAAAAGAACTCTTCATAATCCTTACCAACCTGAAGAAAATGTTCAGAAATAACATCACAGACAATGTATTCTGTAATAAACTAACATCACAGACAATGTCTTCTCTCTCATGAAACACCATCACAGACAATGTCCATCTTTGTGATAAAACAACATCACAGACAATGTCCTCTGTAATAAAACAATATCACAGACAATGTCCTCTCCCTGATAAAATAACATCACAGACAATGTCCACTCTCTGATTAATCAAAATCTCAGACATGCGGTCTAAAAAAACAGTATAACTTCTTTTTTATATATACAGCTCATAACACATAGTCATACACTACCTTTCGCGTTTTCCAAAACGGAAGCCATCAGACAATAACGATGACAAAAAAGGGCCCTAAGAAATTTCAAGTTAATACCACTTTTTTGTTATTAGATTACACATCTACAAATTATGTTCAAACTTCTATATAATAGCGAAAATCAATTTTAGGAAATCAAAGAAAAAACTATACGAAGTCTGCCAGGTTATTGTTATGTCCAATACATGTAGTAATATATCTAAATGCTATATTTCTTACAGATGTGCCGGTTGTATTACTGATGACGTATATGCGGTCGGGATCTACGTTTCTAGGAGATATAGTACAACAGTTGCCTAGTGTACTTTACTCGTATGAACCACTTAGGCGATACATGGAAAAAGGTTATTATTTAACCCGTGATCGTGGTTCGTGCAACACCTCCAACGGTAAATGTAGGTAAGTTAAAATACCAAGATATAGATACTTTTCGTAAGATGCGATAATTGGTGAAATTGATCATTTTGATCTTAGGCAGAACAAATTGTATACAATATTTTCCAAATGTGCTATCAGAAAACCTATGAATGTTTGCACAATTGATAAATAGTTTATTTTCTAATTATGGAAGTAAAACGTTTCTAAAATATATTTTGATATCAGAAAAGCATTTAAGGTTTCTCCTACCCCTTAGTTCTTGATTACAAAAAAACTGATTATTTCACCAGGTCTTGCTGATTTCACGATTGATATAAGACGTTATGATAACTAACGTTTCTGAATGTTCACTGGGTAAATAGAAAATTCTTTTCTCATTTTTTTAAAAATTAAATTTTGGGAAGTCTTTGTACTTACTTTTTGCTGTGTTTTTCTCAGTATCAAACAATGGAGACCGTCTGCATAAATTTCATAAGAAATGGAAACGAACTCAAGATCTGTTTCAAATATTCGCCAAGACAACACTTTCTCCGACCCTGGACAGGTGCATCTGCACTTTTACCGGTGTGAGATTTCCTTGTCTCGCCCTAGGGTTGAGACGGGGGGATTCCCCTATTCATAACAATGGTATGACGTCACTTCAACAATACAATGACGTCACGTCAACCCTGAATTTAGCATTTTACGTTATCATTACATTGTGTATATGATACACATTGGGAGAACAGGGTAAGAGAAAAAGAATCATTCACTACTTTGTGGGTAAGATAGAGGAATCTCAACCCTTTGGGAAAGATTCTTAAGAATCTTCCCCCTCGGGTTGAGATACCCCTAGCTCACCCCCAAGGGGGTGAAAGATTCTATTAATATCACATTGCACTTAAAGCTGAAATATTCTGAGTCCAAACCTTTCACCTTTCGGACGTCGCTATGCCATTGGAATCTATGAGGCCATTGAGTTGAAACGGCAACGTTGAAACAATGAGAACTGACTGTCAACAACAGCTCCGCTAGATGTTATTAAAAGTTTTATTCAAATACACTGTTTGTACTTTATCTAATTAAATGTAGTTTAAATGAACTTCAATTTATATATTGCATTCAGATATTTAGCTTTTCTAATTTAATAGATTATTTGCATTCTGCATTTAATTAGATATAATTCAAATACTTAGCAGAAAACGTTTAACCGTTAACATCTAGTGATATTATCCTTGTACTTTTTCAAGGGTCTGCAAAATTGTCCTTATTCCGATTTTTAGTTCAAATTATGGTTGTGTTGACGCGTCGGTATTCCCTTGATATTGTTTGTATTGTTTGAAATGGTTAGTCTTTATTCAAATGATTTCTGTATTAGACATAGATTAAGAACCTTGTATTTACATGTATTTATCCTCACACTTCGTAGTTGTACATATATTTATCTCCTTGCTGCGTAGTTGTACATATATTTATCTCCTCGCTGCGTAGTTGTACATATATTTAACTTTATACCGCGTGGTTGTACATGTATTTAACTTTATACCGCGTGGTTGTCCATGTATGTATCACTTTATAGAATTATGTAGATGTATCTATAGCTATACCCCGTAGTTGTACATGTATGTATCTCTGTACAGAGTGTCTTTAGATGTATCTATAGCTATCCCACGTGGTTGTTCATGTATGTGTCACTTTATAGAATGTCTGTAGCTGTATCTATAGCTATACCACGTGGGTGTATATGTATATATCTCTATACAGAGTGTCTGTAGATGTCTCTATAGCTATACCACGTGGTTGTACATGTATGTATCTCTATACAGAGTGTCTTTAGATGTATCTATAGCTATACCACGTGGTTGTTCATGTATGTATCACTTTATAGAATGTCTGTAGATGTATCTATAGCTATACCACGTGGGTGTACATGTATATATCTCTATACAGAGTGTCTGTAGATGTATCTATATCCATACCCCGTAGTTGTAATTGTAAACATACCACGTAGATGTCGATGATAGTTATCTTTATGTCTCGTTGTTCTATCTATAGTATTGTACATGAATTTAGTTTATATACCACCCGTTCTGTATATGTGCAGGTCGTTTGTAACTATAGTAGATGCTTTTCTATTTTACACTATTAATCAGTCCAAATTCTGTTACTCTGACCACCATCTAGTGCAGTCTGATACCTAGTTCGGGTTTCCTGTTTGCTACCGAGTGTTCTTGATGCTGGTGTTGGTTTGGTGATTTAGAGACATTGTGAAGATGAAAGAGTATTGAGTCTAGCTAGTATTACTAGCCAAGGTGGTCAGAGCTCCAATATAATAATGCAAGTTAGTGTAAAGAATTATCTCCCCTAAGTGTCTCTGGACATCGAATTAACTGTAAACCGACGTCGAATTAACTGTAAACCATATATACGGCTTTGGTTCAATTTTTTCAAACGAACTATTCATTACTATCTCATTTTATTCTCTGTATCATGTACATATATTGCAAGCACGTTTTTCCTTGCACAGGTAACGCTGTCTTGAATGTTAAGACATAAAATCAAATATGCTTAGAAATAGGCATGCGTATAAGCTACTCTTTGCATCGAATGGTTATTTTATGTTTATTTTTCAAAAAAATCGAAACCACAGTGTCACAGTCGCTACTAATACTTGTTCTACACGTGTCAAATTGATACAGTTCCTTTACATTTTTCCAGTACCAATTTGTCTCGTGCCGATTGAAAATTGTCGCACGGAAATCTCATATGTGCACTTATTACCAAATTCTACATCTCTTTACCTTCCCAAGTTCTAACATGTATGTTTTCTCACTTAACTCCTGTCATCGATTCCTATCCTCTTTTTCACTTATGTTCTCTGAATATTTGCTTTACGAACCTGTGTGTATTATGCAAACAACTTACTTCAATCTTTTGTCATATACCATGTATATTATGCTGTGTACTGCTGCAACCTCAGCTATGATGATGACCACTATCCGTGCGCGAGAAATTACACCAATTAGTAGTTGGTCAGGAGTGACTTGACATGCTGCTCAGTCTAGGTTTATACCGTGCACGGATTGGTTTGTTTAATCAGCGTACCAATAGCAAAAAGACCCGTTATCTGTCTATTTTAGATGTTATTTGCATCAATTTATTCATGATGACTGGTCTAAACTCGTTACCAATGATTGTGCTCTTAAACATGTATAGTTTATACCCAGACATGGAGTCCAATCCAGAAGCACACGTGACGTGTGCACATGGTAATTCGTTTACAGTTTTAAGTGCAATAAGTTTGACAGTACTTTTACTTCCTTATATCTATCCTTATATCTCTCAGGTGATTTCGAAACAAATCCTGACCCGCTCTCATCTTCCGACTCTGATATTTCTTCATTAACATCCAATGACCTAAGTTCATTTTTTGGCAAATCTAAGTACTCTTTTATGCATCTAAATGTTCAAAGCTTGAAACCAAAGGTGTTATGTTCGGATGATTTAAATGATGATTTGAATTTTCCGGGCTTCTTTGCACCTTTTTGCTACTGTAGGCAGGATAAGTCAGGTGGGGACATAGCTGTGAATGTTAAGGATAATATATCGGTTGAAAGGAGGAGTAGATTTTAAAATACCCACTATTGAATGTGTATGGGTAGAAATTTTCATAGCAAACAAATCAGTTGTGTACGGTACATTTTATAGACCCCCGAACTCACCCGTTTCTTCATGGGCTCATAGATCTCATTTCATAGATCTTGCATTTAGTACTGGGGTCTCTGATATCATAAATACAGGCGATTTAAATGTAAATGTGTTGAGTCAAAACTACCCACCTCCCATTTAAACAAACTACTAGAAAATTATGGGCTATCCCAGATTATTACGGAACAAACTTGTTATACAGAATCATCATCTTCTCTACGTGATATCATATGCATTAGTAATACGGACATTGTTGAAAATTCTTTGGTTGGTGAAAGTTTCCTTGATCCACCGATTCGTTATCATTGTCCGGTCTATGGCTGTCTTCATATTATTAAACCAAAACATTCGTCCTTTTCGAGACACATATGGCTATTTGCACATGGAAACTGCACTTTTACGTGAGAAACTTTCAAGCCTTGGATGGCAAACACTATTAGAAAACTTATACGTAAAAGAAAATATCATCATCGTAAAGCTAAGCAGACAGGTACTGTCAGTCAATGGACAAAATTTAGAAAAGTCGTAATAAATGTGTGAAAGCTATACGTCAGGCTAAGACCAAATATTTCAATAAACTTTGTGAAAATTTGAGAAACTCTTCAGCGAGTGGGAAATCTTGATGGAAAACAGTTAACAGCTTTATGTCGAATTCTGAAAAGAAAAGTTGTATACCTTTAGTTATTGTCGATGGTGAAATTTTGATACTTTGAAAGCTAACGCTTTTAATGATTATTCTTTGTATGCAATCTAATATTGACGAAACCGCAACCGAATTACCTACCATTCCAAATGTCACTGAATATAACTTGTACAATATTTTGATCACACTGGAAGAATTGTGGATAACATTCGCTGTCTTAATTGTTCAGAAGCTATTGGTCCTGATTTGATTAATCTTCGCTTATTAAATGGAAGTTGTTGATATTTTGTGCTTTCCGCTCCATACTATATTCAATCTCTCATTATCGAAATCAATATTTCCAAATGAATGGAAAAAAGCAAATGTTTCTCCTGTATACAAAAAGGATGATAGGACAAAATATCGACCTATATCTCTTTTATCTATGCTTGGTAAATTAATGGAAAGATGCGTATACAAACATATCTATAATTTCTTCCTTCGTTATCGATTGTTATCTTCTAGTCAGTCCTGGTTCAGACCTGGAAACTCTCCTATAAATCAACTTCTAAGTATATCCAATGACATAGACAATGCATTACACAACGGAAAAGAAATAAGATTGATCTTTTGCGACATTAGTAAGGCTTTTGACCGTGTTTGGCACCGTCGTCTCTTAACCAAACTACGCAGTTTTGGAATTATTGGTAAATTGTTGTCATGGTTTTCAAACTATCTTTCGGATCGTAAGCAACGAGTTGCCATCAATGATAAGTATTCGTCTTCGAAAAGAGTCAATGCAGGCGTCCCACAAGGCTCTATATTAGGACCACTACTATTTCTAGTTTTTATTAATGACATAGCCGACAATGTTCAATCAATTATTAAGTTATTTGCCGACGATACATCTTTATATACTACAGTTGATTTACCCACAGATAGTGGTGATGTTTTGATTAGGGACTTGGGAAAAATATTTAATTGGTCCAAAAAATGGCTCGTTAATTTTAACCCTTTAATAACAGAAACTTTGATTGTTAGTAAAAAAAAAAAGGAAAAAAACAGTCCATCCTCCTTTGACAATGAATGATAATCTATTACACGACGTGAATGCACATAAACACTAAGGTGTATTTTTCTCATGTAATACCATATTGAATATATTGTTAAAAAGGCATCTGCTAAATTGAATTCGAATTTACTCAGAAAACTAAAATATAATGTCGATCGCCAAACACTACAACGTATGTATTTTACCTTTATAAGACCGATATTAGAGTATGGAGATATTGTTTGGGACAATTTGACCAACCTACATTCACAAAAGATGGAAAATATACAACTTGAAGCTGCACGCATCATTACAGGAGGCATCAAGCTCACTAGTCAAGCAAACCTTAACAAAGAAACAGGATGGCAAACACTTTCTTGTAGGCGGAAACACCACAAAATCATACAATTTCACAAACTAATACACAACATTAACCCACAATATCTTAGAAACATTCTCTCAGAACGACATTCTTACATCCACCAACATAACACTAGAGACGCAAATAGATTTAGACCTGTACGTTGTAGAACAAACATATATCAAAAATCTTTCCTATCTGCTTCTGTCAATCTATGGAATGACCTCCCTGAAGACATACGGAACGACGCATCCATAAAAAATATAAAGCTACATCTTGACAGACACTTACTACAAAAAGAGGCCAAATATACCATGCCAGGCTCAGATTGAAATGTAGTTCACTTAACGGACATCGTTTTCATAAAAATTTAGTAAGCAGTCCACTCTGTTCCTGCCGTGAGGCAAACGAAACAAACGATCAGTATCTATTATCTTGTTGTAACTATGAACACATTAGACAAACATGTGTCGGGCCAATACAAAATCATACCTCACTAGAAACCCTCTTGTTTGGGAAAACAATATTTCACCTGCCCAAAATCGAATTATATTTAACTGTGTTCAAAATATTATTATTAAATCAAAACGTGTTTTACCTATTTAATTCATACATCCAATTTTTCACTCATATAAACCTCGGTTTTGTGTGTGAGGGTGTGTGGTTGTGCGCGCGCGTGGGTTTTTCCCCATATCAGTTGTGCCATATGCTATTGGTATTTTCGTAGCATCTTTGTAGTAGTACACAGCATATATATCCGTTATGACATCAGTGACATTTACATACGTTAACGTTTAGTACATTGGCAAATGCTATTCTTTCTTCACTTCCTTTTTCATCTGCTCTTTCTTCTACTCCAAGTCTCTGGTATCTATTATTATTTCTGCTAAGGAAACAGATTTATATAAGTTTAATAACTTGTTGCTGGATCCTATTTCATGTTTGTTATAATTGAATGTCCTGTATATTGAAATTGCAAATTTACGAAATAAAACATGGTTTATACTAAGAATCTTGTAAACAGTTAACCTGCTATAAAGATGTCTGCAATGGATATTTACACATAACAATTTTAGGAATAAATTTTCTCCTTTTTATTTATTTACAGAAATACTTTGGAGAATAAATACCGCTTCATAATAGACAACATCAAGAAGTTTTTCAACTGTGATTCACAGAAACTGGATTTGAAATTTACAAGAAGCCAAAAATCAAACACGTGGTTTCAATTGTGTGCTCATGAAGCCGAGCCGGAAAAGTGTGTTTCTAAAGTGATATCGTTATGTTCATCAGCGGTTCGGATAATTAAAACCATCCGATTGTCTATGGACGTGGTACAAGAATTAATGGAGAATATTCCTAACCTGAAGGTGGCACACTTACTACGAGATCCACGAGGGATGATCAATTCCAGAAGGAAAACCATACCGTATTTTCAATACAATAAGAAAAAAATGTCTCAAATAGCCCGGGCCGTGTGTGATAGGTATCACAGAGACATAAGTATAGGCCAATCACTGAAGGTCAAATATCCTAACAGAATTAAAACAGTGCTATACGAACAGATAGCACAGAGACCTTTAGAAACTTCTATTCGAATATTTAAATTTTTGGGGCTTCAACCAAAAAGGAATTTCAAAAGTTGGCTGATGGAGCACATTGCAGGAGACCCAAAAATGTCAGTTGGTCATCCCGCCTTTAGTACTGTGCGTGCAAACTCTACAGTCACTGCGAACTCCTGGCGGATACAATTGTCGTTAGATAACGTCATGGATATAGACCGGGAGTGCTCTCAGGTGTATGAATACACAGGTTATCTGGCGGTAAAGAATTCAACCGTCCTGAAAAATCTCAATATATCCGTTCGAAAGAAGAATACTAATTTTCCATAGATTTGGGGAATATTTAACACAGCCCTCCTTTTTATGTTTGGCCTCCCATTACTTCTAATATAAATTGCGCGATGATTAATTAAAACTAAACAATAACTATATTTCACTTTATATCTATGAAACAAACACGAAAATGTCATCCCTAACTCTTTTCTGTCGGTGAATAAGGCTGCTAATAACCGGTTAGATAATCAGCTCCGATGTTTTTGTTATGAATTATCCAAAACCTTTGTAAAATTCCTCCTTTTGGTTTGATATGTTAACCGGGGGGGACTGTAGGTCTGCACTCCGTCCGTCCGAGAAGTTTGTCCGGGACATTTCTTCTATTCTATTTCACTATTTCCTAAGCGTCATAACAGTGTATTTGACTGGGTATATTCTGAGAGGGAAAAAGCCAGTCGCGTTTCTATCATGCGTTCGACTTGTGCATGTACTACTTACCTTATTAGGAGCCAGTTCTCTAGAAATATGAGCTCGAGGTGACATAGCTTAGTCCAGAGTGACGTATCACAGTTGGGTAAATACGGTAAATTATGTGGGGTTTTCACCTGGGAGAGTAGGAGCCAATCAGAATTTAGCTTGCCCGTCACTGCGCTCCGAGTCACACACAGAGGAGTCCGTCAAACGGCAGCTGTGCATGGTAAAGCAGTTAATCGGTAGCCGCATAATTGCTTCTTTTTTTAACCGGAAATGAAGTATGTGAAAGTGAAAGTAGAAGTTCAGTGTCAACAAATATACGACTAGTTGTAGCGGGATTTATATTATTTTAAAAAAGAAATAGGAGGTATATAGGTGAAGTGGTGGAGAAAGGGTTATTACTATGTATTTCACAACGGAAAGAAAATATTTCCTGCATGTATAACTTACTGTTTAGTCATTAAAATGTTTAGATCTTTAAATTGTTTTCCCTGATTTGATTTTATTTTCAGTAATTTAATTAAATTGAATTACTACACAGGTCTACAATAACGGGTTCCTGAATTCAAACACTTAAAACAATGCTTGTAAAATTACTTATAACTCTTTTTAACAATAAATGTATGTGGATTAAATGTTTATATTATCGCAGACATATTACACCAATTTTCACAAATATTACACATGCAATTCACAGGAATTTAAAACAACAAATTTACTTTAGGTTATGGACATTTATTTATTGTTTCAGATTGGCTATACAACTTGTATTACTATCACCACGGAATTATGTTATCTAAGTATGTGCTTTCACAAGTAGGTTATCAATTTTTAATTACTGTTTCAGGTTAGTCATAAACTTGTGTTAACTATCACAGACATGTAAGAAAATATATTGATTGCTTCAGACTGGTTGTAAACTGAAACAATTAATTATCTTAACTTTCACATACATTATGGGGAACTTTTATTAATTGATTCAGGTTGTTTACATACATATATATTTACTATCACAGAAAAAAAGTTATATCACATGTATTGTAGACAAGTAATACACATTCATCATCAGATTGGTTCTAGTTGTGTAGATTCATCTTTATGTGTGACCAAAAAGGCACAAGCCAGATACATGCATGGTAACATCATGTACTTTATAAATATTTAAATATGAAATTCATGATGAAACATATTTATCTTATCAGAAATCTAACCTACCTGTCAGGCTGTCAAAATAATAGTAACTGAAAAAAATGACATTGAGGCTAACTCAAGGAACTCCTCAGGTTCTTTTCAAAGTTATCTCCACATCATGATCCAGCGCTCCCAGCATATTATTTGTTTGATGCACATTTAGCAATACTATTCGGTCTAGGATATATATATGATATATACCTATTTGTTTAACAACATAATTCATGTAGCAAATCATTAAAAATGTGTATAATCCTCAATTCCAGGTAAAGCACTATTAAGTATAGTTGAAGCCCTAAAATATATTCACCCTCTCATTGAAATTAAAATAATACCTATACCTTTTTCTGTTAATAATGTAACATGTATCACTATATTTCATCTATTTAAATAGTGTTGCAATTGGGTCAGAATGCCTGTCCATATATACAGTGATAGGCAATCAATTATCAATCTGTATTACTGTCAATAGTGAAACATGAATATATAAATGTATGTACAAAACATGTATAGGGTAAATGTAATGGAAAATTATTGTAAAATGTATAAATACACATGTGTAATACCCCTCTGTGGTAGTATATACATGTGTAATATCTCTCTGTGATAGTATACACTTGTGTTATACCTGTGTGTGATAGTATATACATGTGTCATACCTCTCTGTTGCAGTATATATACATGTGTAATACCTAGCTGTCTGTGATAGTATATTTACATGTGTTATACCTGTTGTTACCCCCAGATTCCCGGATACTGTAGTACACACAATAAACTCCAATCGTGTGGTATTATTTTGCATTAGACTTGAAGGTAAGTGTAGACGTGTGCCTAGCTCAGAGGCTTACAATGGAACTGCCTTGTTACATACAGGATACTCTCAATATACCTTTACATGCGATTAATTAACTAAACAATAACCAGATGAGAATAGGCGTGAAATAAAGTTGTGTCTCCCTTTGTCCGTAGAGGTCATCAATTAACCTTATCTGACATATGTAAACGGCCACCGAGCCAAGTGCCCTGACAGCTGCACAATTGTTCTCTTCCTGCCCTGGGTAACAAGACAGCCTATAATTGAAAGATAACTGAAACAGCAATTAATTTACCACTTGACTTTCAGGTCATTATTTCACTCTTAACACCTGTATGTGATAGTATACATGTGTAATACCTGTCTGTGATAGAATACATATGTAATACCTGTGTTTGATAGTATATACATGTGTAATATCTAGCTGTCTGTGATAGTATATACATGTGTAATACCTGTCTGTGATAATATATGCATGTGTAATAACTGTCTATAGTAGTAATTACATGTGTATTACCTGTCTGTGATAGTATATACATGTGTAATACCTGTCTGTGATAGTAAATGCATGTGTATGATCTGTCTGTGGTAGTAAATACATGTGCAATACCTGTCTGTGATAGTATATTCATGTGTAATACATGTATGTAGTAGTACATGTTTAATACCTGTCTGTAGTAGTATTTATGTGTAATACCTATCTGTGATAGTATATGCATGTGTAGTACCTGTCTGTAGTTGTAATTACATGTGTAATACCTATCTGTGATAATATATACATGTGTAATACCTGTCTGTAGTAGTAACTACATGTGTAATACCTATCTGTGATAATATATACATGTGTAATACCTGTCAGTAGTAGTAACTACATGTGTTATACCTGGATGTAGTAATATATATATATATAATATATTGCTGAGCATCAAAACTTGGATACACTTTTGTTAGAAAGACTTGTCCTAACTCAGTGCCTCTTGTTTATTATAAAACACAACAAAGATATCTTTATAAAGAAATATTGAGAAGGTTATATAATGATTTGTATACAGATTATACAAACTAGTAAACAGGGTAAATAAGAAGTGGTTTACAGAGTATATAAAGAATGGTATATAGAGAGTGGTATACAGGGTACATAAAAAGTCCTTATTTATTTAGTAAGGGTATCCTCTATAATACAGCCTCATTGCATAAGGTACCTGTATTTATCATCTCTATTATATATAGTGTATTGACTCATTTTCCAGAAGATACAATGTACATGATACAAAGTATATACATGGTATATTTCCGGTAAAGAGGAAAATAAGACATTTCATCTTCAAAAACCTGTAATTGTAGCATATCTCAGGTCTGAAAAAAACAGAGGCAAATCAGTCACTGGGCCAGAGCATTTGGGTGCCAATAGAGGAAGTTTGGGTGTAAAGATAATTAAGATCCCCCACCATGTAACCATCTGAATACATCCATGCTTACATGATTGGCGCCAGGGTCCTGCCCTGCCACAAGGGGCTTATAGTCCCCAAATTTTACATGAAATCAGTAAAGATCCCATCCAAATGCTGCTGGGCATGCAGAGGAAAAACACTCATGATACCAAGATAGTCCCTAATGGAGCCCACCCCATCCCTGAGGACTTACTCCTTCAGTCATAACATGGAAATTGTTGAGATCCCCAAGCTGATATTTCCTGTATGGTAAGAGGTAATCAACAACTTTTAATGAAAAATATTATTCCAGGTGAGCTATTAATAATGTGCCTGTGCTTCTTGTTCTTGAGAGGCCACAATAAGGGAACATAAATGGGAAACTCCAGCACAAGCAAACATGTTATATTTCCTGTGCATGCAATCAATATGAACCAATATCAGACAACTATTATAAAGATGAGGTACCTTACCTACAGAGAATATGGACCTTACATATACCTCATGTATATGTGCATGCATACAAGATGTACTTGATGTATAGGTGTAATCTGATGTATAGAAGGTATATATATACCTGATGCATGGAAGGTGTATATATATACCTGACCTATAGGAGGTGTATACCTGATGTATAGAAGGTATATATACCTGATGCATGGAAGGTGTATACCTGACCTATAGGAGGTGTATACATGATGTATAGAAGGTATATATACCTGATGCATGGAAGGTGTATACCTGACCTATAGGAGGTGTATACATGATGTATAGAAGGTATATACCTGATGTTTAGAAGGTGTATATCTGATGTATATGAGGTGTATATCTTAAGGTTTTTTTTATCAATTGTCGCCCTTTTACTCTTGGGGAGGGGATACATTTACATGATGTGATCATGTGGACGCTAAGGGCCTGAGGGGCGGAGCCAAAAGGGGCCAAAATAGCTCAAACAATAATTGTCTACTTCCAGATCCAGATATGTTAAAAAACCTTCTCATGGATGGAAATATCCTGATGTGCTTAATCAAAATGTGAATTTCACAACCCCTTGGGTACTAATTCCTCCCTGGTGAGGGGCAAAATTCCCTGCTATACATATATATATATGTAATTTTTATTTTTGACATATCACAACAACAAATAACAATTGCATTACAACTCAGGTGACCTGTTAGGCCCATGGGGCTCTTGTTTTAAAGTACTGTATTAGTTGGATGTGTTGATATTGGCTTCCACTAATAATCCCACTACTTACCTATAATTAGATGTGGGTTACAGGGACATGTCACATGCTTATTAAGTGTGCTGCAAAATATATATATATACTGTGATGCCCATTCATTATATATAATATCTTCCATTGTATATATAAACGAGTACCTGGTAGTATTTGACATGTCCCTATAGACTTAAGGTTATGGAATTATGCACTATAGAAATATTCAAATTTCAAATATTTCATATCAATATGGATTGAGTGTCGGTGCTATATATTTAAAAAAAAAACTGTTCAAAACAGTTGATTCTCAAACAGAATTTGTTCTGTATCAAAAAAAAAAATGTTTTTGGGCTGAAATATCTATCCTAGATGTTATTATTAAAAAGAGTTATACAATACTTATCCACAAGTTTTTGAGTCTTGAACCCAAATGTTAAGCACATGTATCAGTAAACTGAATATTTCTCTTGGAATCTGCTTCAAACTTTGGGGGAAAAGTCCTATTTGTACCATATGCTCCCCTGAGTGATAAAATTAATTTGGAAAAGGAACTGAAATACAAGACATTCTTCATTTTTGAAATTATATCTAAGTTCCCTAAGTTTATGATCTAGTGCCAGTCACTTTTCATAAATAAAGATGATGAGATTAATTTAATATAATAAAATAACCTTGCTATAGTGATATGTACACATATATAGTATAAATATATTTTATTATGAATTTTTTCTTGGACTTAAAATTAACCTAGAGAGGTCAAGTTAGATCAAATGTAAAAATAAGCAGTTAATGTCCTGGGTATAATAAATTG